CAGCCATGGGAACTGAGACACCAGCGCTCTCACACCTTGGCTTCTCTCAGGGTTTTTAGGAAGGCGAGTTGCTGAGGAGGAAGAAAGCTTTTCCTGCAAGTGATGCTCGTCAGGTGTGACAAAGCTGAACCTGGAGGACTGCTCCTGTCGGTGCCTTCAGAAACCCCAGCTGTTCTGCCCTTCCCTAGCAGAGCAGGCATCCCACCACCAGCAGCGGGCAGAGTGCTCAGCCCTTCGTCCTGGTGGCTGCTGGCAGCTGGGGTCAGCCACCAGCCTCGCTCCCTGCTCTCAGCACCCACCACATGGTGTCTCGTGGACCACCTCCACGTGCTTGGTGTTTCCTCCAGGACTGACTTCACTCCCCTCTCTGCCATCCACCACCTCCTTTCCCGGTTCCTCCTCAGTGAAGCTGCTTCTGTTCTGTTCCTGTAATTAGCTCCTTCCTTGAGCTGTTCTTTTCAGCCGTGCAATTGAATAACAATTGAAGCAAACATACAAAGAGGGAACAAGAGCTGGAGGTTCATTTGAGCGGACGCAGCTGTCATTTCGCCCCTCAGAGGGGGGCTGCTGGAGGACGGAGGCAATGGGGTCTGTCTGTCTGGAGACCTTCCTGGCCCTTCCTGGCCAAGGTCACGTTCTGGAGAGGGAGGTGGGAGAGGAGACATTTGCTAAAGGACTCGTCAGTGGGCAGCTTGGAGGAATTACGCTGGCTGGAAATCCCGGCAGATGCCTCGCAAAGATTTGATGATTCACATCTCTTTTAGCCTGCTGGCCTTTGAAATAGAACAGTCTAATTAGTGGAGCTCATTATAATCAGTCACTCAGGCTGCTGAAGATCTGGAATGGGGGCTGATTCCTGAGCTTCTTAACAAGGCCCGGGTTCAGTCAGTGTTAGTGGGGTTTCCAGAGGTCTTTGAGGACTCAGGATGCCTTTGTGGTGTCGTGGTGTCCCCCTGCGGGGACAGTACCCCTTGGAAAGCCGGGCTCCCTCAGGAGCAATGCCATAGGCTCAGCCTGGCCATGAACATGAGGCTTCAGAGGAAGCTTTGAGACAGCTTGAGGATCAGTTGTTCACCCATCACAGACCTTGCACCCTGTGGAGCAGGGCTCTTTGGACCAGCAAACAAGGTAAAGCAGGGCAGGGAGCCCAGTTTGGGCATCTGCTTCTGTAGCACAAAGGCACACTTTGTGCACTCCCTGCTCAGAAGGCACCGGATGTCTTCCTCTCCCTGACCCCACTGGAAAAGATCGCTGAGCTGCTCATCTTCTCCCACCACTTGCTGTGGGATCTGCCCAAGCAGTCCTCTTGCTGTGGAAAGCCAAGCCTGCGAGGAACACGGCCATGGTGTCACCGCCTCCATCAGCGGGTACCACTGCCCTCCCCGGCACTGGGAGTGCTTGTGGCAGCCTGCGAAGCACAAGACTCACCACTTCCCATGCCGGACTGACCCAAACCCAGCCTTCACCACCATCCTTCAGGAGGCCTGGGAACTGGGAAATCCCTGCCGACGGCTTCAGGTTCTTCATCTTCTCTCCAAAGCCACAACACATCACCTCCCCTGCGCCTGGGGCTGAGCGCTGGGGCTGCGGCCGTGCCCGATGCGCTTTGTGCCGGGCACCGACCCTCACATCACAGAGCAAAAGCCCGGGGCCCGATGCGAGCGTGGCTGAAATGCCAAGCCCGCTTCGAGCCGCAGGATCCGGCCTCCTCCTGCCAGCCCCGAGGCACTCGCTGACGTTTGTGGACTGAGAAGTGAGCAGGAAGGCCAAGCAGCAGGCAGCGCGGGCAGATGTGGAGTGGGAATGCCCCGTGGCGTGGTTTTTTTGTTCTCCGGGGACTCTTCGGCCTGCCAGCTTGTCGGAAGGACGGGAGGTGGGGACATAGGCTGGGACTGTTTGTCATTATCAGTAGGGGTCACTGCTGACAGATGTCCTCCGAGCTTTTAGAGCCTGCGAAGCTGCTAAATGCTAATTTTTTAAATGAAGTTGTCAACTGATCTGTGATTTGATTGCACAATTGCAGCGTTCAGGATAAATCATGCAGAAAATCATCTAATTAAACTAATAAGGAGTCCAAGGCGGGAGATGTTCTCCGATTGTTGCCTTGGTCACAGGAGGAGGAGAAAAGGCCCTTTTGGACATTTTTTTTTTCTAGGCGGGGATGGAAATGAGACTAATGTGCAATTTCACCAAGACCTTCGTGCAGCCTGGCTACCACTGGAGCCCGCAGGGTACGTGGGTTTATGATCTTGGCCAGCACAGAGCCCTTGGGGTCATGGGGCTCCTCACCTCTCATCCCTGGGTACCCCCCAGGAGAGGCCAGGCCGGGCTGTGCCGTAGGGCAGGGATTGTTATTTCCAGCCCTCGCCTGCCCTGTTGGCCTGCTGTGATTGAGGAAACTCTGCGCTCTCACCCCGTCTGGTATCAGCCATTACCCCACTGCGTTTCCGTGGCCGATAGCGCAACGCCCGTGCAGCTAGATGAGGGATGGTGTGGGCAAATTGTTCCGTGTGCTCTCCTCCGTAGGAGCTGACAGCAGTGGGCATCGCTGCGCCAGGCCCTGAAGCAGGTTTAGGCAGCAGCCAATTACCCCCGCTCAGCGTTTGGCCAGGACGGCACATCTAACGCCTTGATTCCTGCACAAATGCAGCAGGAGCTTCACTGACAACAGCTGCTCGGGGCCTTGTTTTTATGTCACACATGAAAAACAGCCGCACGGGAGCGCCTCGCCGGTTCTGCCCTGTCTGCTCGTATTCCGTCCTCAGGAAAAGAAGCGCCGCTGCCTTCCCGAGTGCCCGTCCCCAGGAGGGGGGGTTAATGTGTTCCCAGCACCGAACGCCACCTCCTGCATCGCCTCTCGTTCCCCAGCCCGATGGCACCAGCTGTGCACACTGCTGTTTGAGTCCTCCCTGAGCAAAGCAGCAACTCAAGAGGTATTCAAGGTAGCTCGTACCTGTGTCGTGCTCTCTGAGGGATGTGCATTTCCCTGACTGCTGGGAAATGCAGAAGGCCATCTGGACGGGACCTCAAAACTCCTGGAGGTTCAGCAGTCCTCTCAGCTGTTTCATCTCTCGTGAAACCATCCGTACTCTGGGAGTTGATCACTTTTAGTTTTCTTTTTTAAGTTGGCTGGAAAATGCATTTTCCTAGCTGTGGGACAGGCTGACCCAGTTAGGGCTCAGTTCAGCAAGTGCTGCGGTTTGGGCTGGGGAGCAGTAGGGGACAGGAAAGTTAAGCAGAGAGCTGAACAGTGTCTGTCAGTTACACAAACTCCACGTCTCATTCTGAAATAACCTTTCCTCCAATGCTGTTTTTAACAAACAAATAAAAATAAGCGAGTGGGAGTCAGTCAGAAACTGTTAAATCACCCCAAACTAAAAAGCTAATATTTTGGGTTTGCCTTACATAAAGCATTTCGGGTGGCCTGTAGCACATTTCTTTTCTCTCTTTTTTTTCTCATCTCTCTTGATTATTTTTGGTTTGGTCACCGAACTGAAAAATCCATCCTTTGCAGCACTGTAAGTAGAATTCCTTGTCAGAGATTTTCTCAAGCAACGGCAGCAGCGGGGATGTTTGGTGGGAAAGGTGGCAAGAACAGCATTAATACCAGCTCTGCGCCTCGGGCCTAAGAGAGCTGTTAACTCACAATAACACCTTGGGGTATTATTGATTTTCAGAGTGACTGCCTTGTTTTTGACAGCATAATTTTGTCATTCCCTGGGTCATTTTACTTTCTAATGGGAAGAAAAAGCCAGAGGATCAGACTGCTTTTTAATGGAGAAAGAGCGTCCTGGTTCTCTGGCTGTGTTGTGACACTGGAAAATGTACTTGTGAAAGTCGGGAGGTTGGCTGAAAGTCGTTTGGTGTTTGTTCCCCGTCTGTGCTAGGGCCTGGTGTGATCAGGAGCTGGGGAGCCAGGGACATGCCCTGCTCTCGGGCATCCATTGCTTACAGGGAATATCACCTACTTTTTGTCTTGTCATCACTAGCAGGGCTCAGGCTGCTCCTCTTCTCTGGTGAAGCAGAGCAGTTCTCGTGTTACTGGTGCCTTCAGCTCTGAAGATAATCATCTTGGGAGCCCTTCCAGGAGGAATGGCTGCTCTGGCCTGACATGCAGAATTTGGGCAACATGAGCCTAACTTCAAAATTTGTCTTCCTGGGAATCCCATAGGAGAGTATTTCTTCACTTCTGTTTGGCTTTGGCTATTACTTGAGTAAAAGACCTTGGACTGAGAAGCATCAGGGCCTTTTGAAACCTATTTTAATCATTCAAAGTCAGCTTGACCTCCAGGTTGGCATTATTGGTTTCATTTACCTGCAGGCTTTTTTTACTGACCACTCCAAAGCCAGGTCTATTGGCAGGTTTCTCATTCAAACCCAGCTTACAATCTCTGTTGGAAGCACAATACAACTTTGCAGAAGTTTCCTCAGGGCTCCCCTGTTTGCACCCGTGCACCCCTACCCACATCCATGGGGCATCTAGGAGGGAAAACATGCACATTAAACTCCTTCCTGCAACTCACCGTGCCTGATCCTTTTGCTCTGCCCCTTCTCCGCCCCAGGGAGATCTTGCTGCTGTGCCCCACAGTGGCCAGAGTCTCATGCAGCTCACGAAAGGAGCCTCTTTCTGTGGCTCAGCTGCTGAACGAGGGCAGCAGAGGTCCTACATGATGCTACAAGCTTGCTCCTTCCCCTTGCAGCTCCTTGGGCTTGGAGGCTTCCCTCCATCCTGCTCTGCAGGGCAGGAAGGTGGGCACAGGCTCCAAAAAGCCCCCCCACAGCGGCAGAGTTGTTTAAAAACGCTGACCAGAGTCATGGTGCCTTTAAGGACTTGAAGTCTAACTCTCGAGTTGCCAACTTGCCTGGCATTTAGGCGAGGATCTCGGGGGGAAAAGGCAGGAGGTGTGGCTAGGGGAGACCTTTGGCAGATAAGTTTTCAGCAGCTCATTATCAGCTGAGGAGATTTCAATGCATGTGAAATACGAAGCTGCTAATTTGTATTTTAATATTCCTCTTGTGTCCCATCAGCTGTATAAATTAAGTAAATTCAATCAAAGGCTATCCCTTATCTATTGCCTGCGTGTGCCTTGCCGGGGTGCTTCAGAGAGCTGGATCTGTTACAAAGCGAGAGGGGAAGGGAACAGAAATCTGAGATCTCTCCCGATATATCAAAGTCAGGCGGAGGGAGAGCATTGATCGCAAGTAACTAGACAACAGCCTGTGCAATAAAAAAAAAGAGAGAGAAAGAGGAAGAAGAAGCAGTCAGAACAATCTCTCTTTTCTCTTCCCTTTCAGCATCCTCAGCTTTGAATTACAAGTGAATGAGAGCTGACTTATTCCTTTTTTAAGGGAGAAATGCACGCACAGGAGTCAGGGTAGGTAGAATTATGGCTCCCTTGGCCATCGTAGATTGGCCCCCTTGTGTGTGTGTAGTATTTTGTATTACAGTTTATGGGGCTAACTTTAATGTCTTAATATATATGTGCAGTGTGCCAGAATTACAGCTGGAGGGGGAACCATAACTTTGAACTTCCTGACTTTTGTGCGTGTAAAATCTCAGCTGTAATGTTAATTTACTCGAGGTTTTTTGGTTGCTGTTGTTGTTAGCCGTTCCCTCTCTTACCCCCCCCCCCCTCAATTTCTTTATAGATCCAAGAAGGACGAGAAGAGGGAAGTGGCAGCATGCTTATTTGATGCTGCAAATGATACGCTGGTGCCGGTAATTTCTAGGCAGGCTGCAGCTGTCGATGCTGCAGGCAGGGAGGTGGAGGTGCAAAGGCTGCTCCAGGGCTCAGAAGAAGAAAAGCCAGGCCTGGCTCAGTGCCTGGCAGGGGCGCCAGGGCAGGAGGGGTGCGGGGTGGGAGCAGGACAGTTTGGGAAGGTTTGGCGCTGCTGTTAACACTCACATAAATTCAGGGCTGTGGGACGCAGCTCGTCTTCCCCACGGGACCGCAGGGCAGGGCAAGCAGAAGGGTGGCAGATCTTCTGCTGGGCTTAATGTTAAAGCAAGGAGAGCCTGGGCTTATTTAGCCCTGCCAGCACCATCTGATGGGCCTCGCTGGTTAATTGGGAGCAGCCTGAGCCCTCCCGCTGAAGCAGGGCAGCTCCTGCCTGCAGCTGGATGCTGGGCGCTTCCCCAGCCGAGCAGGTTGCAGGTTGCCTGGCATTTTAAAGGCTTTTCCATTCCTTTTCACTGTAATAAATAAATAAATAACACTTAGAAAGACATCAAGCTTTAAGTGACGAAATTGGAGCCTTGAACGATGTATCTATCTGGTTTCCTGCATCTCCATCCCATGCTGCTTCCCTAATGACTAGTTCAGAGAAGGCACGAGTGGAGCTTTTCTCCTCTGCTCAGCTGCTTCTCTTCACTTCGTTCATCGGCGCTGCCGAGTTTTCAGGTCCCTAATTCTCTGTTGAATGCACTTGAAATCAGCTCAACAGCTTTGAGGGAGGGACAGACTGACAGGTGGACAGACACGCGCTGATTGCTCCACTGTTATTTTCTTCAGCAAGATGATTGGAAAATAGATTAAGGTAAATATGACCACTGTGCCCAGGAGCCTTGCAGAAACCTTGCTCCTCTCTCCTCCTAGAAGTCCCCTCTCTGCCATTCCTACCCACATCCTGCCCTGCCCCAAATAATTAAGAGCACCGAAGTTCTGGTTCCCTTCTCACACGGCAGTCCTGAAAGCAGCAAAGGAACCCCCAGAGTCTGGCCCCGACACAAGCACGAATGCAGAGGAAAGAGAGAAACCCCAGCAAAACCACGCTGCCTGGCAGAGAAATAACCGCGCTTCCTCTCTCTCTGCTCCCCTCTCCCAACTGCTTAGAAATGCTGAGCGTTCGCTGGCTGCCTCTGAATCCCCCTCCAGACAAAACCGCAGCATAATGAGACGTGGAAGAAGCGAGCCACTCGCCTAAAGACACCACTTCTTTCCTCCCCTCCTCGCCCTGCAAGGTGGGGGGAAGCTCAGAGGCGCCCGCGCTGCCCCAGAGCCCTTCGTTTAAGCAGCGTGCAGCAACCACCACGCAACCCTCCCAAGGATTTCAGCTCATTTTCCCCAAGGCTGGTGTAGCATTAAGTTCTTATATCCAAAAGCAGCCTTTCAAATTGCTGCCTGGTGCGTTACATAAATCCTCACCAGGATCCTCGGAGACTGCAAGCAATTACACTAGGTGCTGAGGAAGCAAGTGAGAGCTCAGAGAAAGGTTAAAGGAAGAAGAAGAAAAACAGAAACAACAAAAATCCCAGCCCTGGTAGCAGCTTGGAGTGGGAGGGAAACCCGCACGCCGAGCCAAGGCAGCGTGACTTGCGTGGAAATCACATCTTGGCCCATTCAGGCCAGGGCCCAAGGGAATTTCACCCACATTTAACTGTGATACTATTTGGTGATGATCTGTAGAGCTGATATAGGCCCTAAAACAGCAGAAACAGTTGTCATCGGTGGCCCAGAGAGTCTGTAGATGGCTCCTAGAAGCCCATGCTCGTGAAGGCATTATCTGGATGCCCTCCAGCCAGGGACAGTGCTCTCCGTGTAGACCTCCCTATCTCCTCCACTCACCTATCTGGATACGCACAGGTCTCGGGAAGCACTATTCACACCACCTCACCTTGCTGCTCAGCAAAAAATGGCAAGCAGCTGCACTTCGTCGCCCTGCAGCTGGCTGAAGGGGTGAGAGCAGTTCAGAGCTCACGCTGACCTGCCCGGGGCACTGCCGGAGCCCTTACAGGATCTGTCTGAGATCAAGCGAGGAACCAGCACCCAGAGACTGAACTGAGACGTGAAATTGCCCTGGCTGGGTCTGTGGTGCAGAGGTGATGTCTCCGGTCAAGGATCGAGGGTCCTCCGTGCAGAGCTCTGGGTGAGCTCCTCGGCCCTGCACACACAACCACTCTGCTTTAGGTCTGGCTCCAGCTGAGCCACCGTGGGGCTGAAATCAGCTGTAAACACAAGTTGGTACCTTCCCTGCCTTCCCATTTCCCCTCAGGGCAATAATCTCCATTAGCGAACGTCTCCAAAATGCTTCCAGCTCAGCGTGTGGAGCCTGATGTCTCCAAAGCCTCCCCCACACTTGATGCAGAAGTGCTGTTTTCCCAGAGCTGCCCCGTGCCTAATGCAGGCGAGTCTGCTCTCCCTGGTGCTTTGCTCCCCGTTAGTCCCGTAATGCTCTTATCCTTCACAGCCTGACAGCTCTTGTGCCCAGCCTATAGGTAACTGCTTTTTTTTTTTGGGGGGGAGGGGGTAGGGTTGCAGTGAATACATCAAGTAGATTTAACAGGGCTGCCCAAATTCACAGTGCTCATAACACATGCGTTTCCCTAATAGACAGAGGCATGGATTTAGCTGTCAGGCAGCTGCATTAAGAAAATGGATAGCGGATCCTGGAGACATCCGAGCTCTGGGCGGAGAAGGAAGTTTAATCCAGGTACAGTGTGCTGGCAAATGTGTCACTGACTGGTTGGAGAGTCTGCTGATAACTCTCGGTCTTACCTATCCTCTGGTGGCACGGCAGGTGCTGATAACTTGCTGTTAGAGGGGAGAGCAACGTGCAGGAAGCCGGAGCTGCAGGACGGGAGCCCACGTGCTGACCCCCTGCACTACTCAGGAGAGCTGCTGGGCAGCAGTGGCCTCAGAGGGATCCCTGGGAGACACCCAGCGCCTGCAGCCACCTGAACTGGATCAGGGCTTTGCTCTCGGCAGGTTTGAACATGACCTGGGCAAAATCCTGGTCTTGGGACCTGTGGGTCACAGCAAAACCTCGTGCTCATGCGCTGTGCCTGGCTGCAAACTCTCACTTCCATGATATTTAGCCATTTCCCACCTGGCAGCAGGCCCTCTCTGTATTTCTTTCTCAGGTGGGTGTAGGCTGCAGAATGGTCTCACTCCTCCTCAGCACAAACCGACAAACAAAGCACGAAAGTGGCTGCAGGAAATCTGAGGAAAGCAGGAAGAGAAGGAGAATCTGCAGGCCACATCCTCCCTGGTATCTCCAACCATCTTTGAAAGACTTCTCCCTTCGTTTGGCAGAGCCAGCCAGCCCTTCATCTGGGAACTGCACGAGTCTCAGACAGCTTCAAAGCAGTTGAAGCTTTCACGTTCCCAGCTGTGGGGACTTTCAGAGTCTATATTTAGGCTTTTCTATAGGATAAGGGACAGTCAGCATGGTTTCTGCTGTAGAAAATTGTGTTTCTCCGACCCACTTAAATCCTTAGGATGAGTTAAGAGACCAGTGGATAAAAGGGAATGAGAGAGTATATATACACACACTCCTCCTTTTGAATTTCAAAAGCCTTTTTTTGATAAAGACCTTGACAGAATGCTATCAAGGCACGGTGTTGACCAGGGGGTGCGAGTTAAAATCCCTCTGATAGATTAATGCGGTCGGAGAGAATAGGAAGAAATGGGCAATTCTCAGCAGGGGAAATTGTGATTGTCGAGGGGTTCTGGCAGGTCAGCCTCAGATGGGAATATTGCTCAGTCTATTTACTAATGGCTGTGGCCAGGGCTGACTAGACAGGTAGCTGAGCTTGCCGATGACACATTTTTTCTATTTGTTTTGAAGACTGAAAGGGAGTGAAGAGTGACTTTAACGGGGATGGGAGCCCGGTGTCCTGATTTCCACCTCTGACTTCAGCTGGCCCAGCTTGGCTGCCGAGAAGTGCCTGTGATTTGCACTCAAGGCCCTTTTGTTTGCAGGCAGCGAGGGAAGCAGACTGGAGAGGGCTCGCGACCGAGCCGGGCTGCTCATTCCCAGCTGCCCACATTTCCCGACGAGCCGTGCTGCTTCGTCTGGCACATTCGGCTGCCATATGGCCCCAATCTGAGGGCTGCGGCCGCGAGTGGCCAAGTCAGGATAGCTTCCCGGCATCGGAGAGGGGTTTCTAATTAGTCTGCAACCCTGCCAGGGTGTTGTGAGAAGGAAGTTAATTAGCAGAAGCCATTTGGACAGCTTGCCAGGGAAGTCAGGCTTGTTCTTCACCTTAGTCTGATTTCTCTGTCTGCTCCTCTGTCCGTCCATCCCCACGCACAGCCCTCTCTCAGCCCATACCTGCCTGTGTCTGTCTGATCCTGCTTTTCCCCACAACCAAGTCCTGCTCCCCAGGCTCTGCACGCCGCTGTTTCCCATCACGAGCAAGCCCTGCTGGGCATCTTTGGGTAAGCAGAGCTCCACAAACCCCACTGCTTCTTCAGGAAAAAGCCACCGTGGCTTTGCTGCCTTCTCCAGCCCCTCACCCACGCTCTCTTCGCAATTCCCCCACAGGAATTGCAGCTAAATCGAATTAGAGTAATTAACTTTTGGTCACACTTTTAATTGAGTGTCAGGAGGGAGAAAAAAGATGAGAAGTTAATTGAGATGAAAGGAGATGACATCAAGCAACAAACTCCGGTTAATGCGTGTTGGTGGAGCCTGGATGAGTGTTCATGGTGGTCATGGTAAACCTTTCACGTCTTGTTCATACACATCATGTCAAACTGCTGCCTGGGTTTGGGGAGGGGTCCTCCTCTCGGGAAGGGGCTGTTGGGATTGGATCATCTGGTCGCTTTTGCTCTCCAGCTCTTTTTTGCACCAGGTTGATAATTGCACAGTTTCACATCTAGGCTGTGTGAATTTTAATCGGACAAACTGTTCCAGCCTGATAGGCTCCAAACGGTGTCATAAACTCAAACAAGAGGGAGTTGTGCTGCTCTGGTAGGACGTGGCGGAGACCTGCTCTGTCCTCTAAACAAGGGTGGCAGCCTTACCCCATGTCGCAGCTTCAGGACCTTCTGACACTTCGATCTGCTCCAGGATTTATGGGAGGGAAGATGGTGTCTCATCTGTTAAATGAAGTGCCTCAAATAAAGACTCTCATTTCTATTTATTAAGACAGTTATTATATAATAATTAAGCACCAGTTGCTGACACAAAACGTATTTATGGAGCTTTAACAACTGCAGGCTGGGAGAGATAAATAGATGCTGCAGAAGTGATTGGGGTTTCACATATTGCAGCTATCCATTAAACCTCGGGGAGAGGCAGAACTTGGTGCTTAGGACACTTTCACGACCCAGGGCTGGATGAACTATTGAAAAGGGAAAGGTTTTTCTGGTAGGGAAAACAGAGCTGCTGTGTTGAGAAAAGGCACTTCCCGAAGCTAGGGGAGCCTCGTGCACGAGGCACCCTGAGAGTCGGGTGTCCCTGTCACTCCCTGCTTGTCCTGAAAGCCTCGAGGTCCCAGGTGGGGTTGGCAGCGGGGCTGCATGATGGAAAGCTTCGCCTCCTCTTCCTAGAGTCCTGCTGGGTATCAAATTCAGGATCCCTGGATGCTTCCCCCATCCCTACTCATCTCACCCATCCAAAACGCGCCCTGATTTTGTCCATCCCATTGTTTCCCCTGGTAGCCCGTGGCAGCACACCGTGGTAAGGACTGGCAGTGGTGGGGAGAGGAGGGAGGCCGTGTTTCACACCAGCTGGCTGTCATGCAGAAGGCTTCAGAAAGCATCCTGGTTTCTTGCCTGCTGGGCTAATCCCAGGTCGCTCTGGCTGAGCTGTGCTCCTGGAGAGGGGAGAGGACAGTAAAGGGTACCAGGTCTCTTGAAATCCTCCTCTAATTAAGATGTGCTGCTCATTATAAGCAAGCCAGGGGATGAAGGAGAACAGCTCACTGCCTCCGACGAGGTCTCAGGAGCTGTGAGGGGTGGTGGTCTCAACTCGAGTTCCACTGCAGCTTCTCGCTGTGACCCTAGCAAAAACCTTTCCTTGCGCACCATGAGCAGTCTCTGCAATCTCTCCTCGCCCGGAACAGGTCCCACCAAACACGGCAGGGCACAAACATGCAGAAACGCCTGCCCTTCCTTCGTGCCATCATCGCCGAAACCTCGTGGGGCTGTGCTGGCCTCCTCCGACAGCCCAGCTCCGCTGCAGCAGCCGAAAGGGAGGGGGTAACGGGGAGGATGGGGAAAGCAGGGGAAACGTGAAACAGAAAGCTCTCTGCAGCTTGGTATTAGGCAGGGATTTGGGAAGGTTGGGAAGATATAAAAAGAACTTGAGAGATGTGTTTTCTCTGGGATTAAGACCGCAGAGTCCATCTCGCTGTGGTTTTAGCTGCCTGGAGGCTGTGTAACACAGCAGCTTCAAAGTGGAAATCTGCAGCAACGGAAAAGGAATGGTGTTTCCTCTGCTTGCCCCCCAGCCCCGCCGTCCCGCTGCACTCTGACAGGGAGAATTTTGTGCAAAACTCAGGATGAGCAATTAATTTTAGAAATGCAGCCCTGGTTAGAGGTCAGAGGCAGCTTGGCTCCTGTTGTGTACGATGTGCAGCAACCTGCTGCAAACCAGGCCTGCAGAGAACTTCCTTCCTGGGAGACGAGGCTGGGGATGGAGTGCTAGAAACAAACACCAGCTGAGAGCATCCCTCGCAGCTCTCCCAGCTCCAATGTCCTCAAGGAGCTGCCCTCAGCCTGTGTAGTACCCCAGGGAGCCCAGGCAGGAGCTGGGAAGGGACACGCTGTCAGCCTTGTGATGCAGTCGAGATGCTTTCTTCAGCTCTAAAGGACTGAACCGAAGCAGAGAGTGGCTCCTGCTTTGCAGGACTTCTGGCCTTAGAAGGAACCTTATTTTTAAGGCAGCCTTCCTCAGCTGTGGGGTAGGTACAGTCCGGGCCCATCCGCATTGCCTGGTGGCCCCATGATCACAGCATCCACACGGGCATCCCGAAGCCTGCCCAGATGCACGTTGGTGGCTATAAAACCACGCACACACACTCTGAGCATCATTTCTCCTTCTTCCTTCCTGGGCGAGTCATTGCTGCAGCATCGCCTTTTTTTAGAACGTAGTTAAACCCAATAAAATAATCATTATTGCTGCAATTATTTTCAAACAGATTAAATATCTGCCATGCTCCCAGTTACAGTGTAAAACAGGAGGAGCCATAAACCATCTTAGTGCATAAAAACAGGGAGGGGAGAAGGGAGGGATGACATTTCATCTGGCTTCCTCATGGGCCCGTGTAGTTACCGGGAACATTTGCATATTTTTAATGCAGTGCCTCTTTAATAAATTCCTCCCTCCAGACACATTAAAAGTGGTGTGCTTGCCTGAACATCACTGAAGAACAGGGAGTGTTAGCGACTTCAGACTCTTATTTTAGCTGCAGAATAAACAAGAGGGGGGATATGTACAGAATTTGGTGGTAGGGGAGGAGTGTAGGTACAGAAAAGGAAGAACAGATCACTTTTTATTTTCTATACCCCATCACAAAATGCCGTCTGCTTAATTTTTGACCTTTTTGTTGTCTGACCTCCTTTGAACTTCACCACAATTCTCCAGGGTAATATATTTCCTTTGCATTCGGGGGCAGGATTATTTGCTATTAAATTGGAATTCAGGAAAGAAGGAGACTTAAATTCTCCTCCTGGCCTGTTAATCTTCCGCGGAGTGAAAATATTGCCTGTAATTACAGGGGGTTTTGGTGTGGCTTTTTTTTTTTTTTTTTTTTTTGGCTTGAGTTCAGGCCAGACCCCAAACTTGCACTTTAAGCCTCTTACGGCAAATACCTCTTTTCTGAGAACAGCCTGTTCTTGGCGTTCCCCTGGCAGACATCTCACCACGGAGGCGCCGTGCCCTGCCTGCCTGCAGCTGGGGGCGAAGGGAAGGGGGCAAACCAGCACTGGGCTTAAATGTGCTCTGGGCACAGGAGCTTGACAGCGACTCCAAACGAGCCCAACAAGGTTTAAAAAATCCAAATGCATCCGGAAGATGTTTGATTAACTTGGTGATGGTCAAGGTGAAGGCCAGCAGCGTTGTCCCAAGGGCAGGCCCCCAGGCTGAGTATTTAGTCCTCGATCTCTGTAAAAATGCAGTCCAGAAGGAAAGCGGGTCCTTCAGCAGCACCGATGTAATAGAGATGGGTATCTCTGCTTTGGTATGGGAGCTGCATGGCAGACGTGGTCCACAGCTGTAACTCTGGCCAGTGCAGTGTCAGAGTGATGAGGATGGCTCCTCTGAATCTCTGGTGACTTCTTTTCTCAGATAATAGCAATTTTCCTTAACTTTGTCATCTCTTCCCAGAAAAGTTGCCTTCAGTTTTATCCCAAAACACTTGAAAAGCGGGAGATGGCCAGCCCACAACAGCTGTAATTCAGGCAAAATGGAGCGGTTTCCACCTAGGTAGGCTGACACGATGCCAGACAAGATCTGCAGTCTGGAGGCAGCTCGTTCCTCGTGTCCTTTTTGGGCCAGTGGCTCCAAGTAGACTCCCACCTTCCATGCTGCATTGCAGTTACCATTTCTATGCAAATCCCAGCTACCGAGGGTCAGGGGATATCACAGTACATCACAGGAGAGGGCATCCACAGTCTACCTCTCATGGAGCATTACAGCATCCTCATGGAACTTCAGCATCTTGAGGCTGGCTTGAAAATCCAGCATTCCCAGTGAATCTCCCTGCCCACCTTCCTCTTGCTCCTGGTTCCCAGTTAGCTTAAATGCCACTATCAGATAGATGCTAATAAATCAAGTGGGCTGCATTCCAGGGTCCTTTCTGCGCCGTGCAGATCGTAGCTCTAATTCTGTCTGGCAGGCTGGAGGCCCAGAGAACGCACACCGAATCAGGAACACGGAGAATTTTAGTTAATGCACTCCAGCAAGTTGCTTTCCACAGCACCTCAACTGCCTGTTTTATCAGCAGAACAGAGCAGAAGAGAAATTGTAGATGAAACAAATACAGAAAATACATTAAGAGAGTAAGTAATGAGATCTAGGTGAAATTGCATCTTATGAAAAAGTAATCTGCAGCTTAGTGTGCAAGGAGGAGGAATTTGATGGAATGGAGGGGCTCTCAAGAAAGGAATGAAGGAGCACATTACAAACAGACAAAGACAACCAGGTGTGCCATGCAACACGGGGAAGTAGTTAAATTAGGATGTAATGGAAGGGGTTGTTTTAATATTTCCCTTTATGGATATTGGTGTCAATGTTATCTCAGGGAAGGAGAGATTAAGGGAGGAGGAAAAAAGCGTGTCTTCTTAAGAAGGCAAATAAATCGTATTGTGGGCAAATTCCGGAGTCCTTCCATCAGCAAGAACAAAGACACAAGGAAACAAAGGCACAAGGAAACCTCCTTGCTGCTTCAGTCTGTATTTCGGTTGTTTTGCCTCTCCCTGCAGCAGGATTTCTGTGCGTTGACCCCAGTGCCTCAGAATACAGCGGGGCGAGGCGGAGAGCAGGGGCTGTGGGACGCGAAGAGATCTGTTCTTAAGAGATTTTCCGTCTGAGGCTGCTGTATGGAAAGGCTTAGCTGGATGTGCCTTTTCTTCAAGCCTTAAATCCTAGGCAGTCCTCTGGGCTTCCTCTAGGGACAGCAAGAGGCAGGAGCACCTTCCCCAGAGGTTGTGACCCCTCTCCACGTACAGCAAAAATCCACTGCAGCGAGCATCTTCCCTTAAGCTGCAGAAGGAGCCCAGATGCATGGGTTTTAGGTGGAGAGGTGGATTTGTCCTTAAATGACGATCCTTGGGCACAAAGTCAGTCCATGTCCCAGTGGACCTCCCAGCACAGCGCGGTTCCTGAGGCAGAGGCAGCCCAAATTCAACCTTTTTTCTCCTCGCCCTTCCCTCCTGCGCGCAGCCCTCAGCCTCCAGCGCAAGAGCAACGCCTCCGGTGGCAGAGGCCGTCCACCAGCTGGGGACACTTTGCATACCCGGCACTTACCAGCCTCTTCCTGAGCCATAATTATGTCGTTGACTCATTAGACAGACAAGCTGAGGTCAGGTTGACTTCCCAAGGTCAGTCGGGCGTAGCTGTGAGCAGTGCTTTTGTTTATTCCTCCTCTCTGCTTGCAGGAGGCTGGGGCTGCTAATAAAGAGGAGCGGTGCAGTTAAGTAGTGCCAGTTGCATTTCTCATTAACGAGTCAAGGATTTAAGCTGAAGCCTGGGGGGGATTTATCATTCCTGTGCCCTGGGCTCTGCCTCCTCTTCCAAACCTCTTTTAGGGGAAGTATCTCCTGCCACCAGCAATCCCTGGTGCAACCAGGGTGCCATGCTCCAGCCTTGCAGCCGCAGCTCCCCGCACGGAGCTGTTGTTTGCGGCGTTGTCCCTGCTCTCAGCTGACTACAGAGAGAGTCGAGACCGGGTTCATTTAGTCCAGAGTAGAAATCTTGCTAACTAAAGTTTGATGAGCTCATTTGCTACCTGCATTGCAATCTGGCTCTAACACCTGCCGTTCCCAAACAGGCTGGGAAATGAATTCATTTCACAATGAAGTCGGAGCGGGTAGTTTTCTTTTGTAGTTTTGAATTTTTAGTGCGTGGAGAAATCAGCACTGATTTCATTTGGGACTAAGTAAAAGGCTTTGTTCAACCCCAAATGAAAAGTGGGAGGGTTATACCCTTTCGAGTATGGCTGTGTGTAATGGGAGTCCGTGTGGAACGGGAATGAGCCTGGTGTGCTGAGAATGAGAGCGGTCCCTGGCACAACTCACATGAAAATATTTCAGTCTTGGTTTGTGCGTGTGTGGCAGGGGGAATATTGCTTTTCACTTCAGCTTTTTCAGCTGAATATTGCCAATGCAGATAAATTTGATTTTTTTCACCCAGCCTACATCCCAACGTCACCCACCTCCAGGGGCACAAAGCACTGGCCCAGGGGCCCTTAGCCCCAAGGGAGAGAAGGGAGAGATGTGGCCAGGCCCACAGGAGCAGGGCAGAAGCCACTGCTAGTCTTGCTGGGAGAAAGGAAGCTTAACGCATCCCTGGCTTCAGTGTCACAAGCTGTTCTGGGTGGATTGGAAGGGCACCCGAATGAGTTGGGCCGGCTTGTTCTAACCCTGGTCCTTGGACAGTTTCATCCTTGACAGCTTCCCCTATTCCTTACCTGAAGGGAGCCTTGTTGCATCTCAGCACCATCGGAAGCAAAAGGAAGATAAAATAGAAGGAAGTTTTCTGATGAAAGACACCTCACACGGGGCAGCTTCCCCATCTCAGTGAGTGAAGGCTATTTTCATAGCCAAGGCTGCTGAAACGAATGTGGATGAAATGGTACAGGATAATTAATGAAATGATTTCCAAGACCTTGGGAGTATCACCAAAATCCAGTACACATAACTGGGTACGGAGAGCCCAAACAAACAGATTGTTACACCCATGGAAGCTGTGCACAAAGCCCAGCACTGAAATCTGGACCGGCCTGTACACCTGCCCCAGAGGCAGGGCTGCCTTCTGGGGCTTCCCAAGAGATGTGTGTCCTCATGCAATGAATCCTGAACTCCCAGAGATCCCAAGATCTGCTGCTCGTGGGCTGCCTGCCTTCCAGGACGCTTTTTGGGTATGCCAGCATTCCTGTCCCTGCACGAATCACCTGTGCAGCAACTCATGCAAGAGTTGTCTTTGCTAGTTTTGGAGTAGTTTCTCCCCGAGGGGCTAATTATTACATATCAAGGCATAGCCGTGTCTGATTTTGTCTTCTTTCGTTTCTTATTTTAACTCCTTCTGGACTGGAAGGTGTTTAGTGTAGCCAGGAGCGTGTGGACAGATTCTCCGGGAGGTGGCCCAAAATCTGCTGCCTCTGAAAGCTGACTTCACGGGACTTCAGACCGGACCATGCAGGGTCACAGCAGATCACAAAAAGCAGAGTTGGGAAGGAGGAGAGCCAGGTATTCACAAAGAACAAAATGCCTTAAAGAGTCAAGAACAAAAGTGGCCGGGAAAATGATTTTTCAAGCTCACGCCATGAAACCCGTGTTAGGGCCTGAACACAATGCTCGACGTGTCTCGCAGCACAAAGGATGCTCGGTGAGGAAGCAGAACGAGCTACCTAGTGATTAAACTTCCCCAATGAGCTGCTGTTAGAGGCGCAAACAATAACTGGGAATAAATTGGTATCAAATTTCCTCTTTCTTTCTTGACACGGGGAAGAAGGAAAATAACTTGCCGTTAGCTGCCGCAGGAGCTCTGCAGAGGGCTCGCTTGCGGCGCCCTGCGATGGGCAGGGGTGTGAAGCAGAGGTCGTGGGGTTGAGTGGGAGAGAAGAAAGGGCAGAGCTGGGGCCACGGCAGAGCCAAAGGAGGGGCGAGGTTGGAAAAGCAGAGCCCAGAGGAGGGGATTGAAGTGCAGCAGCAGCAGGTTTGGGCTGAGACCAGCGCCTGGAGGAGCCAGAGGTAGAAAAGAAACAGCCGCTCCCTAGGCCTGATCTAGGAAGCTTTACAAGGACGGGGTTTTCAGAGCCTTTTTCCTGAAAACCAGGTCTCAGAGTGGCACCGCTCGATAATTCTGTACTTGTGGCAATTTCTGGGGTGGAAAAATGTGGGGTTTCTTCTCTGCCAGCTGTTCCATGACTCTCCTTTCCCTTACCCCCACCTGTCCTCTCCTCCCCAGCAAATCCTTTCCTTCGGCTCCTTCTCCAAGGTCCTTTGTTCATGGCACAAAATCCACAGGATCTGAAGAGGGGGAGGAAGGGGAAAAATACAACTTGAGAGCACAGGCAGTACGAGCCCAGTTTATTATTTATAATGCTCAGATGTAAGCAATAAACACAGGCACCAAATGTAAATTCTGCCACTTCCCTTACCCTCTCTATACAATTCCCTGGTAAATTCACATCATTCACTGTCAGCCTTAATGTGCTTCTATTTGTCTGCGCTACAGATTTCTCGCTGTGATTTTTCTTCTGATGAAATAATATCTCCATGCATCGTTCTCCTCCCTTATCCTTGCTCTTGTAAATTAAATTCGTTTAAATTCCAAGGGATAGTGCTCGGATAAAACGATCTGCAGTGTCATTGCAGGACACAGCGTTGGACTGGAACCGAAAAAACTCTTTGTGACTTCTCCTTTGTGGGGTGTTCTCCCAGGCACTAGGGAACCACCTGAGAAGCTGGGAAGGAGAGGAGTCCATTTCCGTACACCCAGAGGGAGATGTTCACTTCTCATGGGCCCAGGGCATCCAAAAGATGATCCAAGTGGATTTAAAATCCAACACATCACTGTCTGAGCTTCCCCCTTCCCCAAGGCCTTAACTTCTTAGTGTGGTGCTTTTGGGAATTAGAGGAAATCCAGCTGCAGGACTCCCACGGTTCCCTTGCTCCTCATCTCCTCCACTTCAACACCGTGGGCCCAAGCAGAGGCAAAAGATCGGCCTCTGCTCCTCAGTACGCTGCCTCCCAGTAGCACAAAACTTGATGTTTTTTTTTTTTCTGGGGGATGGATGAAAAGTTATTTCAAATTTTCTCACATCTCCGAAACAGCAAAAAAAAAAATTCTGTCAAAAGTATCCAATATAATTTTGTTCAATATTTCATTTTCCTATTATATACCGGAATGAAGTGAAAAGAAAAGATTGAGGAGAACAACTTTACTTAGGTTCGTAATGAACTAGAAATTTTACTGCTGTCAAAAATTGCTCCACTCCCACCAAATCTGTTCAGCTAGCGATACAAAGGGTTCATTATTTACTGCGAGTCAAGAAACACAAAAGCGACGGGTGCAAAAGCTGCTTCCATGGAGCACTGCAGGACCTGCAACCCTCAGCACTTGGCCATTTCCTAAATCTGAGCAGGAGACACCGAGCTGCCCCCTGGTTTTGATGGGAAGGTTCTGGAGAGGAGACTTGTTTTTACCACCCTCTGCTACAGCCAACCCCGTCTGCAGGTACTGCTCCAGGTGCACATTTTCCCTGTTGAAATCCCTTCATCTCCAGCACCAAGGAAGGGAAGCTGCAGCCAGCGGAGGCCCTGCAGATGCGTATCCTCGACGAGACGAGGCCGCTGCCTCCCTCGCTCGGTCGTTAGCAGGAGCTGGGCCCAACGAGCCTCGTTAGCAGTGCAGTGTGACTGACTTTAGGGGTCCCTCACAGCGCCACCAAGCCCCGTAATGGCTTTGTTTCAGTCTCTTAATGAAGACTGCTCGCTCGCGCTCCTCATACATCATATTTGCAATGGTTCCTTCGGTGTGGTTGGTGCTTCAGTGGTACTTCTGTAATTTATGAGACTCTTAGTGGCTTAATTATGCCGTCAGCTCCATCTGTCACTTAACTGATATGAGAAATGATGGGATGCCATTAGGCAGCTAATAGTTGCTGTAAAGAGTATTGTTTTATGCCATTAAATAGCAAGAACATAAACAGTTTTTGCTCCCCGATATCCATGCTTGCTTTGGTAATGATATTTAAGAGGCTGGTCTTGACATCTGTCCTTCTGCCTGAAAAAGTGCTGGAGGAAATAAAAGGAAACTAGCAGCAACAAGCCTAATTAGATTTACCATCAAGATGACGATCATTTGGCTTCATTTTTTTCCTGTGCTGATGGAACTTTTCATTTGAATCTTGGAGCCTTCCTTCCTTCCCATCTTGATCTCTCATGATCAAGACGGGAATGTGGAAGTCTTCAGCCCCATGAAATAATTACTGGGCTTGCAAAATTTGCATCTGAGCCTCCCAGCTACTTCAGCCCATCTGCCCTCTTCCCACGCCTGTGAAGTATTGTCTGTGTAATAGATGGAGAGCTGCCACACAGGAGGCTGTGAATTAGATCTGTTGGAGAGGGAGGCACTTGGTTTCCACTGCGGATGGCAAGGTTAAAAGTGTAAAGCCTTTAAACCCCTCTTAATTAGCGCTTAACCCCGAAGCTACCTCATATCTAATTTTCGGCGTGAAAGTTCCCAGGTGTGGGCCAGAGGTGGCTTCAGCCCTGGCAGGACTTGGCAGCTCTCAGCTTTCCCCAGACCCCTGCCTGCACGGAACTGCTGGGGGGGAGCTGGATGCACAGGAGCGTGTGCCCCTTCGTGCCCCGCACTGTGCTGTAACCCCAGCCAGAGCTGTCCCTTCTTCTGCTCCCGCTCACCCCTTGTTTGATCTGGTTCCTGCCCACACCACCTTCCCTGCTCTGTTACACAAACATCACCTTCTCCTGGACTGCCAGGACAGCTCATGGCCAGCCCCGCGGTGCTTTTGGCTGTTTTATTTCCAGGCTGGTGCCCGTGCAGTGCCCGCTGCCACAGGCACGAGCCCCAGCGCCTACCGGTTAAGCGAAGCAGCGTGGT